ATTACAGTGATGGAATAAATAAAACTGGCACTCTCTGCTCTAAATGTCATCAAACTCAATTAAAGGAGGAAAACCAACAAATCAAAAAAGATCACGAATGAGAAGAAAGTTGTAAAAGGTTAGATAAGTCTATGGATAACTTAGTGGAGGGAATGGAAAAGGCTGTAGAAGGCAAGGAAGGCTTAGATAACTCAGATATAGATGATTCTACTGATGATTCCGCGAGTAATTCCAGCACCGATACCACAAATAAAGAAAGACACCAACTTCAATCTCAACAATCCCAATTACGTTCCCAAATCATGCAATTAGAACAAAATCCTACTCTTAACCAAACAGAATTAGAGTCTAAAAAGAAAAAGTTAAAAGAATTACAAGACCAAGAAAAAGAGTTAAATAAATCTTTGCCACTAACTGCTCAGATTAATATTTTAGAAAGAGAAATTAAGGAGTTAGAAAGTAAGTCTAATAAAAGTCAAACTGAACAAGCTCTTTTAGATAGTAAAAAGAAGGAGTTGGAAGAGTTATTGAAAAGACAAAGTGGTTCTAATGTTAATAGTGGTAAACCTGCTGATAAAACTGGGCTTTATATTGGGTGTGGAGTGGTTGGAATAGTTGTTTTAGTTTGATTAGTGATATTTGTTTTAGTAAAAAGAAAGAAGAAATAAAAGAAATTATGCTAAGGGATGATGTATACTGTAACCAATGTAATAGATACATAGGGGACGACAAGCGAACTTGGTTTAGTGATGTAGAAAAAGATTTAGATTTTTGTTCAAAAAACTGCTATTTGGAGTGGAGTGGTAATTGACGAGAAATACATTCAGACTTTACGGATGAGTTACAAAAAGAGTGGCAAGAGAAAAATTTTAGTTATAAAGAATGTAAAGAATGAATAGATGATGGTTTAATTCCTGACGAATGCAAATTAGCTGCCTATTTTAGGAGTAAAGATTATGTTCCTTCAACATTCGATATAGAAGAATTAAAAAGACTTCAAGAATATTTAAACTGGTGGCAATGTTCTAGGCAGGAAGTAGACAAAGAAAAAATTAATAATATTACTATTGAAGAGCACTCTTCTGTATACAATGGCAAAAAATGATATTGACTACCCAAGAAAAGAGTAAGGAAGTTGATAGGAGAGGAGTTAGATTTGTCTGAATATTCTAATTTGAAAGATGTGACAATTTATGGGGAATGACTTAAATCCCCTCTTACTAAACTGGAGTTAGGTCAACAAAATAAACTTACTCGCCTCTTTATTGATAATAATCAATTAACCTGTTTAGAAATAACTGGTTGCCCTAATTTAAAACTGCTTAGGTGTTCTAATAATTTTTTAACTACACTCGACTTGAGCCAAAATAACCAATTAGAGGTATTAGACATCAAAAATAATAATTTTTCAGAACAAGATCTATCTATTTTCAGTCATTTAGTGAATTTAAGAGGTTTACAATTAGGAAACAATGGAGATGATTTGGAGAAGAGAGTCAAGCAAGATATTTATAATCGTTTTTATGGTTCCTTGAAACCTTTAAAGAATTTGAATGAGTTATGAAATTTAGATATTTCCAATACTGATATCAACAGCGGTCATGAGTATTTGCCGATTGGTATTAAAAAGATTTACCTCTCCAATGAAGGAAGACCTGCCAGCAAGGTTAAAGAAATTGCCGAACAACTTCAGTGGATAGGAGATTTTAACTGCCAACAAGTAAAAGAATGAATAGATGCTGGTTTGCAACTTAATGATTATGATTTTGCTGTTCATCTGACCAAGCAAGGTTTTCAACCACACTCTAGCCTAAATTTAGAGGAATTAAGAGAAAAGTATAATAAAGGGCAAAGTTGATTAGATAAAAATTATCCTAAAGAAAGTAGGAGTGAAGTAAAAGAAATTTACCTAAATGAACCTAGTTTAGAAGGAGAATTAGATTTAGGGGAATTTACTTATGATAGACATGGTGGTGTAAAAAAAGTATTTGTTTCTCCTTTGGTAGATGAAACTAAACTAATATTTAAAAATCCACGAAAGACCGAGATTATTCTTCAAAACCCCCAAAAATATCTGCAACAGAAATATCCAACTAGGGAAGAAAGAGAAAAAGTGACTGAACTAGATGTTAGTGGTAAAAAACTCGAAGGAGATTTAGACCTCTCAGATTTTATTAATTTAAAAGAATTATGTTGTCATAATAATTATAAAATCACCTCTCTAAATGTTAGTAATTGTCCTCAATTAAAGAAAATTGTGTGTTTTAATAATCAACTAACTAATCTCATTCTACCTCCTAACCTAACTAATTTAAAAACATTAGGTTTAAGTAGCAATAACTTCTTCACCCAAGACTTGTCTTTTTTAACTCCTTACACTAATTTAGAAAAACTTTATTTAGAAAATAACAATTTTATAGGTTCTCTAGAACTATTAAAAGACCTGACAGAATTGCAGCATCTGAAAATCAGTGATAACAAACTTACTGGCTCCTTAGATTATTTAAGTGAGATGAAAAAGTTAAAAGAACTTGACATTAGTAATACAGATCTCAACCAAGTAGATCTAACCAAGTTACCAGTCAGTCTAGAGAAAATTAAATATTCTATTAAATATCGACCAACTTCTCAATTATCTACCATTATTCCCCAACTAGACAAATGGATCTGAAAAGACATTCATTCTAAATTTACTTTGGAAAATCGAAGAAAATGAGAAAAAGTAGGTTTTAGTAAAGAACAAGCCAGAGAGTGAATACAAGCAGGGATTAGTTATTATAGTGACCACAAATTCGTTAGTTATTTAAGAGATGGTAAAAAAGTTACCCCGCAATGACTTTTAGACAATAAAAAAAAAGAAGGATTTTGAGAACTAGTAAAACACAAGTGTTGTGAATTTGACTGATGTCGCCAATGCCAGCAAATTAATACTAGTTATAAGTGATGTCAACCTTGTGCAGAAAAAGAATGAAAAGAAGACATAAAGAAATTAACAGGACGGGAATTAATAGAGAAATTTATTAAAAAATTACCCAGTTATGAAACATTAGAATGAATTCCTTATGAACAGTTTGCTGACATTGAACATTTGGCTGATGGCGGCTTTAGTAAGGTTTATAAGGCTAAATGAGAAAAAGCAAAGGAGGATTATAGTAATAAAATAGTTGATAGAATAGCCACTTTAAAAATCTTGAACAACTCTCAAAATATCACCCTCGAATTCTTAACCGAGATTGCTAATAACAAATTAGTAGCCAATTATGACGATGAACATCACAATATTGTGCCTTTTTATGGAATTTCTCAAGACCCTAAAACTAAAGACTACATAATGATAATGGATTATGCAAAAAAAGGTGATCTGAGACAATCTTTACAAAGGGAAGGTAAAAATTTGGATTTTAAAAACAGATTTAGAAAATTATATGCTATTATTAGAGGATTAAAAGCAATTCATGGACAAGGATTAGTCCACCGAGACTTACATCCCGGTAATATATTGGATGATGAATGAGATGCCTTCATCACTGATCTAGGATTAAGCAGACCTGCCAATTTCCAATCCGAAAAAGGACAAATTTATGGCATTATTCCTTATATAGCTCCCGAAGTTTTACAAGGTCAACCTTATACTAAAGCTTCAGATATTTACTCTTTTGGAATGGTGGCTTATGAACTATTTGCTAATGTTTACCCTTACTATGAATACACCAATGACGACATTTTGCCTTTAAGGATCATCAATGATGGATTACGACCTAATATTGAGGAAGTCCTAATACCCCAATTATTAAAAGACTTAATTGAAAGTTGTTGAGATGAAGACCCTAAACTGAGACCGACTACTGAGTATTTATGAGAGATTGCGGAAAGATTGGACAAAGTGTGAAATGGTCCAATTACTCATTATGACTTAATTGAAAGAGGCGATAGTGAAACAGTTGAATTTTTTAATCAACTTGAAGACTTTGAAGAAGACTACGACTACTTTTTTTTAAACACCCCTTATCGAATTCATCCTAAAGAAGTTACTACTAGCAAACTAATAAATACTAGGCAAATCACTCAATGCTTAGAAAAGTTAAAAACTAGTGAAGAATACCACACTGGATCTTTAGAAGAGTTAACTTTACTAATATCATTAGATAACTTTGTTCTAGAAGAACCAAATACTCAAGATTACCTAACTAGAATCTCTCTTCGGGTTAATAAATCTACTGGTTCAAATAAACAATTTAAACGCAAACTATCTCTTTCGGCAGAAATTTCATCTAGCAAAGAAATTAAACTAGAAAAAGAAACTAAACAAATAGAAACAGAGGATAATTGAATTACTATCCATTCTAACTTTATTCCGCAACTAATCCAAGCCTGACAAAATTATGGTTTTAGTTACTCGGAGACCAGAGACTGAATTAACATTCACTCCCCGTCTGAGCAAGCCCAAGTCATCTCAGAACCTAATTTTTATGCTTGGTTGCGTGATGTAAAGAAAGTAGATAGTGATTGAGTGCATAATTATGGTGATCTGGATCATTTAAGACAAGAATATAAAACTTATCAGCAACAGCAAACTCAGATAGAAATTTCTCCTAAATAGAAAACCTTTTATCTGATCAACTTCTTTTTTAAAATTAATAATATAGTAAATACCTTATGAATACTAAGAATATCTTGTTTGGCCACCATCAGCGCTAAATAGAACTAACCGCTTAATGATGGCCGGGGGTCCAGAAAATAATCTAATCTTCGACAGGGATCTTCTAAAAAATTATTATATAAGGAAAAGGAAAAAAACTATTTAAGGAAATTGGTTTAGAATCTAATTGTTTCAATCTCTTTCCAAATAGTTGGGCATCACGGATATGCTTATCCTATCTGCTATTCCAGTCCCTTATGGTCGCTAACACCGCCAATAAGTTGGGGTGGTCAGCATAATGGGGTGGGGGGTTATTTTTGTTAGACTAGATACAAATTCATCATCCCAGGTCGAAATTTACTAGAAGTTGAAATTTTCGCTTTCTCTTTTCAGTTTTAAAAAAACCTAAAAAAGTTAACAAAATTCTAACTTCTAGGAAAAAGCAGAGAATTCTCATTCCTTACTTGGTGGGGAATTAAAATCCTCAATATTTCGGCCCTGGACTTTACTTTTTACACGATAAAATGTAATGAGAAGTCGAATTTACTACAATTTTGGACGTTTTTAAGGCCTTATCCTTCAAAAACCGATAGCATCCAACTATCCACTTGTTTATCTCAAGCGTTTTTGTTCTACACTCAGCAATGTTTCAGCATATTGTTGCCAGGACTTTTTGCTTCCAAAAGATTAATCTTTGGCAGATTAATTTCTGGTAGGAAGATGATTTGGAAGACTGTTAAAACAATTTATAATTAACGGAAAGTGGCCTAGCGGTAAGGCACCTGGTTTGGGACCAGGGGATCGTGAGTTCGAATCTCGCTTTTCCGACCATATTTTAATAGGGCGACAAAGTTATAATAGTAAAATATTATTAGGGAAGGTGATAAATTTTAATATAATGTTAATTATAGAGGGTAAATATAATAAAATATGTTAAACTGAAAGGACATAAACACGGAATTTAATGCCGAATTACAGAAAGAATGGGAGAACGAAGGATTTAACTATGAAGAAACAAAAGAATGAATTGAGATGGGCTTTAAACCTATTGACCTGAGTCTCATTTTATTTGCTAAAAGCAACCTTGGTTGTGAGAGCGAAAATTTTCTTAGTAGTAGCGAAATAGAAACATTGAGAGAAATATATGAAGAAAATTTAAAGCAACATTCAATAATTCTCAGTGAAAACCTAATAGAACAAGAAACAATAAGGCAATCGCTATTACCAAAAAAGGAAGATGACTGACAATTAAAGCAGTCTTTACTTCTTTCTCAACAAGAAGAAGAAAATACCGATAAAGGGTGATTAACTGATGATAATATTACTTACATTTTGGAAAATAGTGAAATAATTGAAAAGGCTACTGATAGAAATGTTCAAATAAAAACTGATATCGCTAATATTTATTTTCAAATAGAGGAAGCGAAACAAGGTAGAAAAATTACGGATGAGTTTTGAAATTCTTTAGACATTACAAAAAAGCATATAATGTTGCCCTTGCGGGTAAGTGGAAATCATTGAAGTTTACTAATCATTATTCAAAATGAAGTATCCAGAAAGCCCTGATATCTCAATTATATCTCTTCCTTATCCTATGAGACTTCTCAGCAAGAAGTAGAAGAAATTAAACCTTTTTTACAACAAATCCAAGAAAAATTTAAGGGTGAGGGCGTTTTTTTGTTTGATGAAAATGATAAATTTAAAATAATAAATAAGGACAACCCTCGGCAACCAAACACTTGGGATTGCGGGGTTTATTTATGTTTGTTGGTGGAATTTCTCAGCCAAAATGAACTTTATTTGCTGGATGAGGAAGACCCTTTTATTACTTCCCAAACAGTAAAAGATTTTCGGGATAAGTGGAGAAAGGAAATTGGCGGAGACAAGTGATGTAAATGAGACAGTAGCGAAAAAAATATAGACCCTGAGGACGAGCAATTAAAAATTGCCTTAGCACTTTCGCTAACCATCACTGAAGAAGATAACTCCTTACCGAAAGACATGGCGGCAGATAAAGCGAGCGAAATAACAAAAATTATTGATGATTTATCTAAACAGAACAGTTATCTAACGGAAATAGCGGCAGCCTTAGAAAAAGAAAATGAAAGATTAAGAAAAGAATTGACAACAGCAAAAGAAGGAAGTGCTAATAAAGAAATGACTGAGTTGAAAAGCCAATTGGCTGAAGAAAAAAGAAAAAACGCAATTCTTGGCCAGGAACTAGAGGAATTAAAAAAAGAAATCAAACAAAAAGAGTTAGAAGAAAAAATACATAATTACTTTACAAAAGAGTTATGGGAAGACGGCCTTCTCTCTTATCAGATGGATTTTCTTGAAAGATTTCGTTCTGACTGAGAACGAAGTGCTGGCAAGGAAGAAAAATTATCATTAGTCAAGAGAATTTTGAAAGAAAATCAAGAAAATAATATTGAGGATGCTAGTTTTCCTCCGTATTGTCCGACAAAGTTGCAAGGATTATTACAGGAGTGGTTAATTATTCAATTAGAAACAGAATTTCAAGCACAGATACAGCAAGTTTAGTGCTACAACATAAAGTTATAAATTATATTATAACAAGGTAAATATGACAGAAACCACAAAAAAAAAAAAAAACAGTAAGGTTAATAAACTATTCAGTGTTCGTCGCCCAGTGATAGAAAACAAAAAAATTATAAAGCCATGAATACAAAAATAGAACAATTAACTAGGACTTATTTGGATAGTTTATACCTATCTTCTTATGAACTAAATGACAGCCAAAAGCAAAATATAATTCGCATTAATAATCAATCGAATTGGTTAATTTTTAACGCTTGTTCTTTGAGAAATAGTGATCAAAGTATTGGTGCTGATGAAATTTATGACATAGATTCCCCATACCTTCGAGAACTCTTAGAAGAACAAATTAAGAATTATCACCAAGAAGATTGAAAAGAAACCTTTTGCACTAATGACGATGAGCGTAATAGAATTAATATTAATCATGTTAAGGTAAAATTTTTTATGTTTATTAGGGAAGAATGGAGGTCAATTGGTTCATCTGATTGAATGGCTGTTAATAAAACCGTCATAGGAGACAATTTTGGAGGAACCATGATGGATATTGATAACGTTGATTTAACTCTTGGTGCAACTCATAAAAAAGTCGAGTGGCGATTAAACAATTTACTAAATGACCCTGACATACTGAATAGCACGGCTCCCTCAGCCAACAACAACGACGAAGGCCAGGGTTCAGGAGCGTGAACTTCACCGCCACCAAATAGTTCGTCAACAGGGACTAATACCCCCCCCCCCCCCCCTCCACAAGATACTTACAGTGGCCAATCACACACTTCCTCAACCTCTAACACTCAAACCATTCAGTTCAAGATTAAAAGTATTGAGAAGTATGACGATGACATCTTTGACATTGAAGCAGATTCTCCTATTACCATAAACGGGACACAAATTACTTTCATGGACATTTTGGGAAGAAAAGTCAGAACTGCTTTTCAAAATGGAGATTTACAACCTGGGAATACTATTGCTATAACTAATATCAGGTTTGCTCCCAATCATGCGGAAATAACCCCTCATAATGAATTGTGAATTGGTAAGAATTATGATAATATTCAGGTTATTTCTTCGGCAAATTCTTCCTCAACTTCCTCTTCTCCTGACAATCCTCCATCTCCAACGTTTTTTCCTGAAGTCGGACAAGAAAACCAAGAACTAAATCAAGAAGAAAATAAGATGGTTTTGTTGTCAGAAGAACTTTTAAAAATCATTGAAGATAATAACCAGATTTGTCAAGAAGCCCAGAACTTTGGGATAAAATTGCCAGAAATCCCAAGTGATGCTTTAAACTACTTTCAAGAAGAATTTTTCGCCTTCTTAGATGAAAATCAACCACTCAATAGTCCCCATAATAGCCAAATTAATACAAAAAACGAAAATATTAGGAAAAAGAAGTTGAATATTAAGGAGAATATTTATGGGATTTACAATAATAATAAAAAGAAGTTAACTGAGAAAAAAACTGGTCAAACAACTTCTCCGAAAAGCGAATTAGAAAAATTGAAAGAAGAAGCCAAAGAGAGAATAAACAAAATTTTAACTGACAAAGATAATTTGCGAAACATTAACTTAACTATTCTGGCTGAGGGGAAATATCAGAACTGGGAAAAAGGCATTGAAGGATTAGCCTCTGAGAAAGAAGTGCTTGCTTATGTGGAAGCCTTTTTAAGTGCTTTAAAAGAAACGGGAGCAGAGGAAAAAGAAAAGGACAAAAATAATAAGACTGGTTCAAATGATAATTCACAAAACTCGCCAGAAAATAATCTTATCAATGATAGCACAAGGAGAGCAATTAATAATTTGCCCTTGCCAGCGGCCAAAAATTTCGCTAAGAAAAAAATTAGAGAGTTATTTAAAAAATATAAGCCTGATTTAGAGAAGATAAAAGAAGTTTGGGAAGGAGAAAAAAGTTGAATGGCTTATTTAGAAAAATGTGATAGTCCGGAAAAAATCGTGGCATTTCTGAAAAAATTAGAAAAAGCCATTGTTTCCCAACAAATTCTAAATCAAGGAAATAGCACTAAAAACAAAAAACCCACTCATTCCCTTGCTTGAATTCTTCCTTCTCTAATAATTAGCCTAATTGTCATAATTGGCTTGGTAATAATTATAAAACTTCGTTATAAAAGAAAAAAATAAAATAAGGTGTTAGAATTACAACAATTTTTCACTAATTTCGAAGATTTAGTTCAGCGTTTAGAACCGCGAGGAATAAGCAAAAAACAATTATTAACCATTAAAGAAAAATTAATCAGGCAAAAAGAATTAATTAAAATAATTAATGAGCTGCGACAAAAAAGAAATCAATTAAGCCAAGAAGGACTAAAAAATGCGGAAAAAGTCAAAAAAATCAAAGAAGAAATTGCTTTATCCGAAAAAGAATTAAAGGAATTAGAAACGGAATTAAGCAATCTCACCAGTCAACTTCCTAATCTTCCGGCTCCTGATACCCCTACTAATGAAGAAGGTAACAAATTAATTGATAGAACTGAATATCAACATACTATTCAACATAATTTAACCCACGAAGAAATATTAAAAAAATTGGCTTTAATTGACGAGGAGAAAAGTATTCTGCTTTCTGGTAGTAAGTTTGCTGTTTATCAAGGATTAGGAAGTGAATTACTACACACTCTTATTAATTTCATGCGGTCCGAAAATAGTAAACGTGGTTATCGTTTATTTGATACTCCTTATTTAGTAAATGCTCATAACCTCTACAATACTGGGCAATTTCACAAATTTCAAGATAATCTTTACAAGTTAGAAGAGAGTAATTTTTATTTGCTTCCCACGGCTGAGGTCAGTTTAGTTAATCTTTACCAAAATCAAATATTAACCGAGGAAGATTTACCCTTGAATTTATGTGCTTATAGTCCCTGTTTTCGAGCAGAAAGAATGGCGGCTGGTCAAGAGAATAAAGGCTTAATCCGTTTACACCAATTTCATAAAGTTGAATTAGTAAAAATAGTTAAACCAAAAAATTCTTATCAAGAATTAGAGAAATTAGTTGCTGATGCTCGGCATTTTTTGCATTTACTAAAAATCCCGCACCGAGTAATTGAACTTTGCCATGAGGAATTAGGATTTACGGCAGCCAAAACTTACGATATTGAAGTTTGATTACCAGTCAGCAAAAAGTGGTTAGAAATCTCTTCGTGTAGCAATTGCGAAGATTTTCAAAGTCGACGGGCTCAAATTAGAGTGAAAAAAGAAAACAAAAAATATTATCCTCACACTCTTAACGGTTCGGCTCTGGCAGTTGATCGCCTGATTATTACTTTGTGTGAATATTACTATAATGAGAAAGAAAATGAATTAGTCATTCCGGAAGTTTTGCGAAAATATTATAAATTTGACGAGTGTGTTGTGCAGTAGGTGTAAAAAGAGAATATTCAAAGGGGAAAAATTTGTTGAAATAGGTAGTAATAATAGATGAATTAGAAATACTTATATGAGTTGAAGAGGAGCATTGGGGGGCAAAGGAGTATATTGCCTCCCTTGTGCTAAAAAGAAAAAAAAATGAAGAAAACGGTTTTTAAAACAGTTTTTTTTAGTTCATGTTTTCCTCATTTCTTTTTTTCTTGTGGCTGGAGTGGTTATTCTTGTTATAGTGCCAAAATATCGAAAAAGTTAAAAAGATAAATTCCCTAAAAATAAATATGACCTACTCTCCTGAAGAAAAAAGAAGAATCATTCTAGATAACTATACTCGCCCAAGTAAACAGGTAGAATTAGAGGAATTAAAGAAAAAGAGTGAAGAATGACAAGTGCCTTTTCTAACTTTTCGCAGTTTAGAAGAAGGTTGTGGTGATATTATTCATCTATTAATAAAAAAAAGGGATAATTGCTTGGAAAAATGCTTTTTTTCTGGTCAACAATCTTGTCTGATTACGGTAGCAGTCGCCAATATTCTCTGTTCTTGCTTGGAGGGAAAAGATTTAAAATTAGTTCAAAAAATACTAAATAATTGCCAAGCCATGATAGAAAAGAAGGAATATAATTTAGAAAATTGTCCTAATTTACAAGCATTTAGCGATATATCACGTTTTCCCCACCGAGTAGAATGTGTAAGGCTGGTAGTGAGGGCCATAATTAAAATAATAAGTTAACTATGGGAACCTTTTGGATAGTTTTCTCAATCTACTTTCTGATTATTACTTTGTTGGCATTTTGGCTTATATTTCGTTTTAGTCGTTCTCAATTCTGCGAGGCGTTATTTAGTTTCTTCTTTGTCACTTTTGTTTTTAATATCCTCATTGACAATTAAGAAGTAATTTTTTAAATTAAGGGTTGGCTATACAGATTTTTACTGAAATTTTTTATAAAAATATTATATAGTAGTTAACAAAACTATATAAAATAAATTAAAAACCTTTATGAAGTATAACCATGACAAAAAAACTATATCTCAAATTTCAAATATTCCGGTGCCGTTAGGGCACAAAAAATTAGAGAGAGTAAAGGTCAAAAGCCAAATAAAAAAACCTTCTCCCTTTCGCACTGGTAGCCTTTACGACTAGTAGCGACTTTCCCAGAAGTCTAAAAAAGGGTAAAGAATACTCTCCTAGGTTCTAATTGAATTATTATTGCTTATCAGAGTATTAAAACAGTTGGCTAACTCTGTAAAAGTTAGCAAAAATAACATAAAAAAATACACAAATATTTAAAAAACAATATGGTAAAAGAAAATAACTTAATAATTGAAAATAAAAAACCTTTTGAATTAGTTCAAGAGGTAAATAATGAAGTTCCCTCTTTTGAGGAATTTATGAAGAATTATGAGAATGATGGTAATGTGAATTATGATGACTTAAATAGTGGTGATGTTGGGGAAGTGAAGGGGTATGGACCTTGCAGAAATTCTAGTTGTAACTGTTATTGTTCTTCGTATGATTGTATTTGTTCAAATTATACTAAGTATCAGGGGTCGGTAGAGAGCAGAAGGTATATAAAAATTAATAAGAAGACTAAGATAAAGGGTTTTCAACATTTGATTCATACTGGTAATGATTGAGCAGATAAAAATGGTGGTCCAAGCACTTCAAGAAGTGAGTGATGGGATGAGGAGGAAAGTGGATATAGTGATGGTAGTTTTCGGTTTAGTAGTGTTACAACTTCAGCAGGAGCAAACGCAGGAATAGGTGGAGCAATAACGAGTGGAGGTGCTGGATATTCAGTGTTTGGGGTCAAAGATAGCAGTGGTGAGGCTAGGTTTTTGAGTGCTTCGGTTGGGGGTGAACTTGGAGCAGGTCCAGGAGGTGTTGTGGCTGGATATTCGTTAGGTGCAGACTTAGCAAGTATTCAAACAGGAGGTTTTTCAGCTAATGTCGGGTATGATGGCGGTAGTGGTGTTTCATTTGGTGTTGGCGGTGTTGAAGCCAAAGTAGCAGGTGTTGGTGTGAGTATTGGCAAAAAAATGGGAGTAAGCACTCCTTTTGGGGGAGTATCGGTTGATTTAGAGGAAACTTGTGTTGTGCAGTAGGTGCTATAAAGAAATTCCTGAAAGAAAAG